CGGGGGCGCTGGCCGTCCAGAGCAGCAGGTAGAGTTGGAACATGTTGTTTCTGTTTAGTCATACACACATCATTGGTGACAGACTGTATGGGTTTGAGAACCACAGGACAGTGAAAGCTTGTTTTGATATGTTTGTTATAGGCTTCAACTTCTCTTTATTAGGTTAAGATTTATCTCCCTAGCTAATTGTTATTTTTGCTGTTTTTAAATTAGGACTAGGTGTTAGATGATAGCAATTATTTACCCAGTAAACTGAGCACTGAATTTTCCCTTTAATTAGTAGATAGCAGATTTTGTAATGTACAACTGTCCCCCAAATATAACACCTTACATGTTTTTAACATACCACTCTAAGCTGCTTCAAGACTGGCTCTCTTCCACATTTCAGGAGTAAGCAGCTGGCCAACGGAAAGGCCCACGAGGCAGCTAGGCACAAGTCACTTGAAAAATGTTAAAAATAAGAGTAAAAAAAGGGAATGTAAAAATACAAGGAATCCACCAAAACCCGACCAATGCTGGATGCTGTTCTGTTCTTAGGATACCAGGTCTTTTAATTTATTGTCAGGGTGTGAGATTGTCTATAAACCAATGTCTCAATTACTATGCTCTTTCAGAATAAAATTTACTTTTCATCTTTCTTTATTGAGCCATGATCACATAATCATAATTAGATACTAATTATGAATGTATTGTTACACTAATTAATGGACAAAATCAGTATGTTCACATTTGTAAAGTTAGGGCACTATACTGCAAATGGGCTGTGCTAAATTTAATTAATAAAACTATGAAGAATGTTATTTGAATTCAGTTTACAGTACTGGCTTCACGTTTTTAAATTTCAGTGTCCCTAAAGAATAACATAACTCAGCAAATTGCAGCAACTACAAAATTTTATCTATTTTAAGATTTAAAAGAGAGATTCGGCTATAGCCATTTCCTCACTCCTCCTAAATGTAAAGAAATTTTTATATTAAAAAATATTTTAAAATATCAACAGCTCTCCCTCATCTTAAGTAACTTTGGCCAATTTTTTCTTGGAGCTTTAAGTTTTCCAGGGCTCAGCACAGCTGAAAGGAGCATTATAAGTATATTCAAGTAATGGTAATGCAAGGTACTTATGTAAATTTAAAAGTTCTGGATTTTTAGTATTTTTGTCTTTTACTACTAAATCTAATACAACTATCTTCCCCAAAGCATTTTCCTCTGCCTCACTCCTAAAACAATAAATTTCCCTTGATTTATTAAATTCATACAGAAAGATTACAAGTTTTGAATAGCCATGAACTGCAAAGTTGTGCACAATTACTTCAGGCACACACAAGAATGTTAATTACTTGAATAAAAATTTTTAAAGTGCCACTTTTGGTGTGTCAGTGAAACAAATACTAAATCCCAAAACTGTATGAACCATTAAGCTTCACTAATAGAACAATTACCTAAAGACAACTACTCTTGAAGAAAGCAGGTCTGAATTTGTAGTCTTAGGTCAGGGAGGTAAAACCAAGGGAGACAAATAGGACTGTGGTGTACCCTAGGTGTGGGTAATTCTCCCTTTAGGAGCTTTAGTGGAGATCTGCAAATACTTGAGAATCTGAAGTATGGCAATTCTTCAAGCTAAGAAATTGAACTATTGGTAATAAGTGTATACTTTTTGTTTTCTTATCTGTGGTAACTCTCAAAAAGGCAGATATTTACACGTGAAACTATTTGTGCTCCCCAAGATGCATTATTGGCAACCTGTGTACCCTGATTTCCCATATTTTTTTTTCTTTTCCTTTTCAGATAACCACATTTTAATATCAGCTTTGGTGATTGCTAGCACAGTGATTTTGACAGTTTTGGGGGCAATTGTTTGGTTCCTGTACAAAAGAAATTTGGATTCTGGTTTCACCACAGTTTTTTCAACTGCACCCCAATCACCTTATAATGATGACTGTGTTTTGATAGTTGAAGAAGAAAATGAATATGCGGTTCAATTTGACTGATTTTGAAAGTCTCAGACTAAGATATTGAATACCTTGTAATGATTCCTGTGTAGGATTTTAATATAAAACTTGACAATGAAAATTAAGTTTTTGTGGCATTTTCCTTATTCCAATAATAATCCTAATGTAATAATTGTAATAAAAAATCTAAGTTCATTATTAAAAGATTTTAAAAGAATGGTCTTAGATATAATTTAAATGGTTTAGACCAGTGGTCTCAACTACAACCCCAAATGTATTCACTTGAATGAGGGAAAACTTAAAAGACCAAGTAGTAAAAATAAAAACTTCTATTCTACTTATCTTACCTGCTCTATGTTCCCTTTTTAGTTAAACCACCTTGGTTTATAACTGAATTAAGAAGTTTTTACTTACCACTATAGTTTTGGCAGTCTCTAGGTCTTTAGCAATTTCTAGGTTCTTGCTTCTTTATTCATGAACACGATATAGAGAATAAACCTCACTTTGAAATAGATCTATACATTTAGATATCACTAATACCTGCTGGATAATCTAGCAACCAATTCCTCTAAATATTTTTATCTTCCTAGATTTAAAATTTGGAGAACTACAGATTTCAACACCTGATATTCCACATAATCCTGCAGTTTCATTATTTTTAGAACACCATTTGGACCATCAACAGTATTTATTGCGCATCACAAATGGGTAGAATTTTAATAACATTTATAGAATTTTTGAAACAAGAAAAAATAGCCATACCAGGAGGATGGCAAAGAGACTAGCACTTATAGTACCTTTAATGATTTTTCTCCTACCACCATACCTGTTACTATATAAGGTATGTCACACCCCATAAGCACTGACAAGCTGAATGACATGAAAACAGAAGAACACTAAGTACTACTGTAGTGACAATGTGCAATGCTTCAAAGTTGTACCGTACATTTTAAGCAAAGGTGAAATTAATCATTTTGGGGCTAAAACATGAAAATGGAAGAAGCTGAAATTAGTAATTTTCTTAGCATCCTTTACAGCTTAAAAACAGTATTACAAAATAAAGAATAGTTTGCATAGTTGTATTTATATCTAGAAACTTGAAAGGTTCAAAGATAGTAATATCTCCCTAACCCATATCCCATCAATTATTTCATGAGGAATATTTTTCTTATAAGGAGATATACTATTTCTCAAACTCGACCATTGGCAAAATCCCAGCTTATGCCATTTATGAATTGAAAACGGCACTATTGATAAGAAGACATGAGTAACTACAAAGTGATGACGAGACTAAATGGTGTGGCTGTCTGGTACTAAAAGAGCAAATGTTACACTATGCTACTCAAAAACAATTATGCTCTGTGAAGCTTTAAATCTGAGATTTTGTGTGATTGAGATGTGTATTTTATTACTGATAGGCTATTAATAGTGCTACTAATAGTGAACATTAAACTGGAATTCTTTCCTGATTTTCCTATTCAAAGTCTACCATTCCTTTAATAACTAAGATTGATCTTACCTCTTAAATCTCTAAGTATCAATAGAGTAACCACAAGTCACACGTGGCTATTTAATTAAAATTAAATGTAACTAGCCACATTTCAAATGTTCAAATCACATTGGTTAGTAGCTACCATATTGGGCAATACAAATTATAGATCATTTCCATTATCCTAAGAAAGTTTTACTGGACAACACTGCTGTAAAATATCCCCTACCACTCACCCTCGTACCGTATTAACTCATTTTCTTCTATTAATCTATGTCAGCTCTTCCAAAATGGCTGTTTTAAACTGATAATTAATTTTCCAGGTTTGATTTCATTTTCGAACAAGTCCTAGAGACCCCTGGGAATGAAGAGCTAAATCTTAATTTTCTTTATGTATCATAGCATCTGTTAACAGACCCTTCTATTTGGTGGTCAACAGATAACTATCATTCAAGTCTGTACTTACTGACAATAACATAAGCATATTTACATTCATAATTTATAAACTGCTTTCTTCAACACCTTGGTTCTAGCTAATAATTACAATATGAATTCTCATGTTTGACAGATATCTAGAGAGAATAACATATTTTTAACTACATTTTCCTAGGATTTACATTCTTTGCAGTGAGTAGCATATAGTCCCTACTTTTACTCAGAGTTTAAAATAACCAGTAAAAGAGAATTTCCTCATTCCTTCTAATTCATATTCATAGGGTATCAGAAAATAATAAAATATTGAAATACCAAGTGGCACTAAGAAACTACAGGAATACTATAAAGCACAAACCACTGTCTCTGTATCCATCATTTAGTATTTAATATAACTATAAGTAAATTGTATGCACATCAAAGGAATATTTTCTATCAGTTAAATTTTTAAAAGATTTTGTGGGTTAAGCAGAAGATAATTTTCGTACTCAGTCCTATTAAAAGTATAAATGTTTAAAATTCAGAGCATCCCCCTAGGGACTCAGAGAATAGATACTGAAACTGGCACCCTGAAATTTTATTTCTGTGTTAAGTAAGGCAATGCAAAGATAAAAGGTAAAAGTGGGCAAATATTTCAGAAACATTTTTGTATGAAATGGGATTTGGTATTACGAGAAAATTTTTGGCTATAAGGTTTGATTGAAGTCTACTTTGAGCACGCTGAAAAGGAAACATTTCAAACTGTCAAGTATATCCATCAGTATGCATTTATTTCAAGCCAAGGTTTTACATGAAGACCAAAAAACTGACTAAATGTGGGCAAACTGTTGATTCACATTTGAGAAATTACATGGTTTCTACTTGGGTTCTAAAAAGGTAGTTTGTTGCCATGACATAGACTTTATTTAACCTGAAACCACCTGAAGGTACTTTTAAAAGTGTATCATCAGGGTGTTGACAGAGGAAATATACAGTGTTATGGAAATAAACCAAACTCAAGACCAGTGTAGATCTATTCACGGTGAAAAGGTAATGAAAATATTAAGTCATCAAATAAATGCTCATAATTACCAAGTTAAAAACAACCAGAATTCAAACAGGTTATTTATATCTTATTTATCTACAAGAAGGACAACACTAAAAAAACACGTTGAAAACCAGCACTTTAAACTCTGAACATAAGGTGGGATTTAAAAATACTCCATAAATTTTTAAGATTGTAACACATTTTTCCCCTTCTTTTTCTTTTACCAAATAGCATTAACTGACAATTCTGATATAATTTACAGCTGTAGTATTCCTAAGAGGAATATCTACATACTATGGACTATCAAATATAATTTGCACTTTCCAATCAATACAAAAATTTATCCATCACTTATACCTTTTACAGTTCTATACTTTTTTAAAAACAAGATTTTATTGCTAAGTCAATTTAGAATTCAAATTAAAGTTGGAAATCTAATATAATGCTCTTCAGAACTTACTTCCCATTCTTTTTTCTTTTTTAAAATAAGTGGAAGAAAATGATTATGATAATATGAAGACTGCAACTTAAGGCATCTTAAAAGTTAAAGTAATCAGGTGCCATCTGGCATTTTATTTTGAAAGTATATTTTGTCCCACTTTTTTTCACTACCAAGAGACTAAAACATGAACTTCTTTTCATAAATATGACTACAGTAATAAGAACACAAAACAGGCTGTCAGCACTGCTTAGATATGTAAAACAAAGTTAACACTTTCCCATTCACCTACCAGAAAAATACTTTTGATTACCAACTTATATGACCATGTTAAAGGTCCAGCAGAATTTTAATTCAGCAACACTTGAGAATGAATATATATATACATGCATACATATGCATATATATATTCATTATATATGTATATACACACACATATAGTCAATATATTCAACAGGCATTCCCCCTCAAAATTAATACTCAATTGCCAGTTGTAATAAACACAGTTGTTCACAGACCATCCATTTGTTTTATATGAAGTTAGGCAATATCAAATTCTCTGTTATGGTCTCCATCTTCTTCAGAATCATCCTCTGAAGCTGTTGAAAGAAAACAAGATGATCAAAAATGATTTTAAGGGGGATGAGAATGGAAGCGTAAATATGAAGCCAGAGCAGCAATGACTTGTAAAATAAAAATCCCAATTTAATACACTGTTTAGTCAAAATCTAAGTTATCCTGACAGGGTTAGGGTGGCTAACTGTGGGTGATGCCCATCCACAATTTTTTGTTATGTTAGTTTTTATAAAAATGAAAAATATTTAAAAATGTGGTTCAAGAGTTTCTTCTAAAAAGTTTCTGAGATCAACTTGTGTTCATATTGGCTAACGATATATACACTGGAGAACTTAAGGCAAGTGCTCTCACACACCTAAGTAGAATCTGGCTTATTACCGTTGCATGTTTGATGCATCCAATGAGAACAAAAGAAAATGTACACAGAATAATAGGTTATGGGTGTTCTTGCAATTTACATCAAAGCTATGTCTATATAGTGCCAAGAAAATGCTCTAGTTAGTCAGTCAAAAAAGCTTTAATACATACAGCCTAAGTCAAAATTACTGATTTAGTAAAAACCTTTTGTTGAGATTATTCCTATGCTTCTACACCATCAGAAACAAAACTTCTGCAACATTTCTGACCTCAAATTTATTTTGGAGTCATTAGTGGCTCAAGTGTTTAATATAAAATGTCCTAGAATGTTTTCAGGAAGGACATAACTGTAGAAAACTAGGTATTCTGTAAACTGCTATGTGTTGGAAGAAAATGGAAGTTCAAGAAAATAACTATCTACCAGCAATTCCCCTATTAAGGGCAGAAAAGTTAAATGTATACTCTCCTTTTTTTAATACCAGAAAATTTAAGAGCACCCTGCAAATGGAATTAACAAGAATATTACTCATGAATAGATGAAGCTTAAGTCATCATATATTGTGTATTTATGTAGCAGAAATTTTTAAATTCAATTTTTAATAAGTGATGTCAAACATAAACTTAGCCCATGAAAGTATATCTTATGGTTACATTTTATGCTATATCATGGAGAAATGTCAAATTGCAGTTCAAGTTAAAACGAGTTTAACACTAAATTAAGTGCCAGTTCAATTAACACCACAGGAGAGGAAAAATTCAGTCAGAAAAAGTTTTCAGAATATATTAAGACTCTGGTACTTAGGAATTAACTTGTAGCACCCATAACATGTTTCACTCCCAGAGAAGTTTGGGTGTATTTCACCTCTGTCTTTTTCTTCTCACATGCTGGGAGTAGACAATGCTATGTTTAGGAAACTAAATTCTAGATAAGAATGTTAAGTTTAAAAAACAAAAGAGAAACAATCTGGGGAAAATGTGCACTGAAACAAATTACTATCATCACACCTGACAAAGTACAAATTGTAATTTACAAAAAAAGATCTTAGTATTGGACAATATAAGGGATCTGAACTAAGAAGGTAGAAAGGAAAAAAGATGTATACTAATTGAATTCCCACTTGCCATAAAACATTTGAACCTGTATATACCATTTTCATACATACTAAAATTGTGAAAACCTATTATCTGATTGTACCTCTACTCCTTTTAAAACAAAAAATCTTTAACAACATAATAACAAAAATCCATGTATTAGAATTACTGAAGCAATTAAAAGATTCTAATGAGGACCAAGTCCTCCTCAAACCTTCCTCCAAAGGATGTTAAGCTTTCTCGAAAGGTAACAATGTTATATGCACACTACAGAGCACACTCCCAAGTATCTGAAGATGGGTACAGAAGGTAATCAGGCAATCATCTATGGAATACATACTTCAAAAACACTTCAAAGAGTGTCAGAATCTGATCATGGGGAGCCAGTTCCTTTGGATGAAAAGTACAACAGGTAGGGTAATCCGGGATTCCCAGGAACTGTTCAGAGCCACCAATATTTGTGCCCACCTGGTACGAAGCACCCTGGAGGCTGTAGGACTTTGAGAAGGGGGTAAGCTCTGCAGATGCCTATAAAGATTTGGGCATTAAGTGACTTCACATAGGAGAAGCCCAGGCAGAAGTCCTATCGCTTGAACACGATCTTAAAGAAACTGGAGCTGCTGGCAGAGCTGACTGCCTACTAAAGGTCCATGAGGAGCAAAAACAAAACTATGGTTTCTGTTGCAGACTCAGAATCAGAAATATTTCACCGCTATTTTCCTAGAACTATAAACAAACCAAAGGAAAACCTTTTATGATCTGAAAACTTGAATAACAAGTAAAATTTTATACATACACACAATCTAACAGATTAAGAACTGTGGTTTGATTAGTGGTCAAACGTCTTCTTGATTAAAAGTGTTAAAAATTAAAGTGATCAAAAATAAAATTGTATTCAAAATAAAATACTAGTGCTTAAAATTGCATTGCTCTGTACTTTAAATTAATGTAATTAAAAACATCTAACTAATAAAAATAATGTCAGTTGCCCAACCCATCTTCCCAAATCAATTACTCTGGTATTATTAAGCCTATAAATGAAGCTCTAAATTTGGTAGAAAGAGTATATACTTAGGTTTTGCTCTGTGGGTTTAATTTGCAAAAGTAAATTCAACAAGTCTGGGGGAGGGGAAATTCCACCTACTTTCGAGATCTTCCATATGTGCCTGAAGAGTTCTTGCAAGGTTAATAAACTAGAAACAATGCAGAAAGAAATACAGTAGTTTAAATGCTGCAAATGGATCTAAAGAGAAATCAGTATAGGAGATTCATTTCTACTTAAAAAGTCAAACACCATCTTAAGCCTTTAAATAGGGGTCTTTCTCTCCCTAAATTAAAATTTACAAGCTTATGGATATTACTTTTTTAATCATGTATTTTTTTATAATCATTATTACTCATATAAAAATCACGTATAAACTGGCAGCAGATACAATGATTTTATTCAATGGTATTATCTTCTTGTATAACACTTCAAAATATTATGGAGAAAAAAAAAAGGTTTGCAATTTGGACCCAAATGATTTAATTTTAGTGGTCAATCAAAAAAAATATTTTCTTGCCTAAATTTGATAGCTCTAAAAGTATCACATTTAATTCTTTAAAAAAAATATTTTAAATTAAAAAAATGATTTCACTGTAATATTAACTTATCTATGCCTTTTACAAAAGCGTGAATTCAACAGACCTTACTATAATTCTTTATATGGTTCATTCACTCTGAAGAGATGTCATCTTTTTAGAAATCATTTTATGGCATTAACTAAATTTAGGTACTATGGCTTCTAAGTACTCAAAATTCAAGAGATCTCTGCTCAAATTCTGAATGGTCTTGAGAATTTTTTCTCTTTCTCAATGATAATTTGTCAATTGGCTTAAAGGAATAATTTTAACATGATTACAGAAAAATGCTTTACCAACTTATAAGCCAACTTTTATATAAATTGATCCAACTATTTTTTATATAAATTTTATATATTTTATATAAATTGATCCAATTTATATAAATTGACCAACTATTATATAAATTGATCAACAATTTTCAAAGTAGAAACATACCTCAACATAAACTGCTATATTTGTATCACCAAAGTGAACATTTATATAAAAAGTAGCTTGAAGAATATGTTTAACATGTTTTCAAGATAAGCGGTGTTCAGAATGGTACAGTAATGGGAGATGCAGACCCTAGTCCTTTACAACATGGGCAAGGCAGCAGAGTATAAATTTCTACTGGTACACTGAGGCAAAAAGTATCGACTATCTATATGAACATATGAACAAACTAAGGAGTATCTAACAAACAGCCTAGGTGTTAAGGTAATAGTATACAGAGTAAATGCCAATTACCATCCATATTAACTAGTCTGTAATATGATGCTTAAAAAATTAGTACACTAGTAATCTTTTGCAGGAAAACAACAAATAAAATTAATTTCCTACATTTTTTTCAGTTTTTGTTGGAGTTCAAGCTCAGGTTTCTAAGTTATAATACTGAGTTTGTTTTTTTCCCCATTAAAAAGAACATTTTCCCTTGGTATTTCCAATTTTATTCCTCTTTTTCAATATTCCAATTACCTTCAAGAGTTAGAAAATTATTCTCTAAAATAGCTTTATGAGAAAATTAGGCTGCTTGATATAGAAGGAAGACAGCAATTTCTATTACATCTACAATATATTTTATTTTTAAGACACATTTTTAATATAAGAGCTTCCCAAAGGAAACAGAACGTGAACGTATAAAACAATATGCTTTCCAAAGCAAACATTTGCTGCATCACACCCTCCCTTCTTCCCCACTCCACTATTACTTACTCGGACACGTGTGCTGGGTTCATTTGTATTTCCCATCATATCAGAAAAGCTTTGCTCACACAAGTGCAGTAACACAACTAGGTAGAGACCAGAGCTGATAAACTCATACTCAGCCTTCAACAGGGAAGCAAAAGAGAAAAAAGAAAATGGAAAATGAAAAATTAGTAGACTTGAGACTGATATTCATAGTATACTGATAAACTAGAGGGAATGTACTCTTATCCAGTTCCTACTAAGAGATATGGTGCTATCTATTAAAAGAAGAAATAGGTTGCCCTTCATAATTTCATGAAATTTTTCTAATGCCACATAATGAGTTCAAAAAGTTATGTGAATACCTGCTTAATTCATATGTCTTCCTTTATGTAATGACTTACATAAAGGTAGGACTTTTATGTCACTGATGGTAGAATGAATGACTTGGTTCTCTATAAAGCTCATTAACAGATTTCATAACATAAATGGCTACAGTGTTTACTTAAAAATTACCACTTAATCTACAGCTAAACCACTATTAACTGAAACCTATTCTGACAGGTCAAGTGTTTCTCATGTAATACAATTAAAGGCAATAGTAAAAACAAAAGTGAACTTAAAAAAGTAATAAAAGTATTCCTTGTATCATTCACATAAAAATTTATATTGGGTAAAAACAGTTCTTGGGTTCAAAATTTCTGTTGTTTTGAAGGTGGGAACACAAATCATGAATATAATGTTTGAAAAATCCAACTTATTCTGTAATTTTTATACAATAAACCACCTATAAACTGTGCCATTTCTTTGGTGATTAACTCATCTGAGGTTAAGAATTTTATGATCTTAGTATCAACTTCAGCAAGTGAACAGGTTATCAGATTCCAGAGTATTCAAGAAATTATAAACTCATAGAAGTTTCTTTAAATGTTTCACTTAATTACTTTATTTTTATCTTAAAAGGAAATCATATCTTAAGAACAAAAAAATTTTTAGTGGCTATCTCCTTGAAAAAGATGAGGAAATAAACTGTATTAAATTAATAATTTAAAATGAGGGTACTTGTCAGGCTACTGGAATCCCTGACTCACAAAGAATACAGAAGTTAAAGCCAAGAGCTTTATCAAGACTGTCATTATTTTCACAATGATTCCACCTAATATTTCCTAACACTTCCAAATTAAATAGGATGTGGGTCATTAAAATCCCTGGAAAACAACAGAAACATTCCTGGTGGAATTGAAAAGCTATCTTTTTAAGAGACAAGATGGAGCAGCAGAAAACCATCCTTTGAAACCTACTCTCATTTAAAAAAAAAACAACAGAGAAACTTTCCATTTCCACCTTCCCTTAATCTTTCTCCATTAAAATACTGATGCCTGGCTGTCTAGAAAGACTCCATGGGAATTTAAGACAATTCCTTGCTGAAAGTGGTATTCTTTTTGGACAACTAGAGCATTAGAGAATAAAAGAGATTGTAGCATTTTAGTAGTATCTGTGGTACATCAACTACCTAATGTTTCATTCACTACTTCAGTGATTCTTAATCTGGATCTAAGCAATTAGCTTCAAGGGATTTAAGAATCCCTTATATTACATACACGCCTTGTGTTTATGCATGTTTGTAAGAATGCCCATGGTTTTAATTAGATTTTCAAAGGATTTCCATTATTACCATATTTAAAAAGTAAAGGGCATACATTAAAGATCATATATTGTATGATTCCATTCATATGATATCCAGAACAGATTAAATATACAGAAACAACACAGACTGGCAGTTGACAGGGATGAGGGAAGTGGGGATGGGGAGATTACAGGTATAGGACTTCCTTTTGGAGAGATAAAAGTGTCTTGGAACCAGACACAGATGGTGGTTGCACAACACGCCAATGTAGTAGTGCAGGGAGGGGGCTGTTTGTTCTCCTCGGTTCTTGTCCTCGCCACAACAAAGAATTGAAGGGCAGAGTCACAGTAGTGAAGCAGAAAGACAGTTTTATTTGAATACCCTCTTAGTGAGGAAGAGGCCAGAGTCAAGGTAGACAAAGGCAGGTTTCCTTGAATAAAGCAAAGAGGAAGGGGAACCTCACTGATGGGAACTTGCAAGCTCAAATTAGAGCTCTCAGTAGCCCCTGCCTACTTATCTGAAGTAGGACAGAGTGTGAAGGCTTGTGCTTAAAGTCTGGAAAACAGAATGAAGTAGAAAAATAACAAAGACACCACTGGAAGAGCAAAGACAAAACGTGTAAGTTGAGCAGTAAAAACTCTCTTAAAAATACACAGTCCAAGAAAGGGGAGTGCAGGCAACCACAGAGAGGAGGCACACTTAAAGGCTTAGGATTCTGTCTTTTAAGGCTTTCAAGAATGGGGCACAGGATGGGGGCAGGGGCTGTTGGGCATTGGCTTGACCTGTGGTCTCATAATGTCTCTCTCCTGTGTGACACATTATGTTACCACCCAGTCAGGCCTCTAGATAATTCTATAGAATAAACTTCCTGTTCTTCTCCAAGATAGTGGTTTCCCTTAAGCACTGGGAACATATCAGTCAAGACTGCTTGCCTTGCCTTAAGATAGGGTGGGTTATTGTCTGAATACAAAGAATATGTCAGGAATCTGACCTCCTAACTCCATGGTTTTTAAAATAGAATCTCAGCCTTAGGATGGAGGCCCTCCTGTTCTTACTATGCTATTTATATCTTGGCGTTTTCATCATAGGCAGGAAAAGTTAATCATGATGCTCGTCCCATGTCCCTACCCTGCATCAGCTATATATAGCAGGTCCCAAGGTCGGCTCAGATCAGCATATGGAATGAGTTTGCATTGCAAAGGGCCTCAACTCTTGAGAGTCCTTTCTGGCTCTCTGGCTGTATCTGATTAGCTCTCTGAGTTCTTGGTGGACCCCACCCTCTTTTCATCCTGATCGTATGTCTTTCTGCCTAACATGAGCATCACTGAAATGTTCACTTTAGAATGATTTTGTTATGTGAACTTTATCTCAATTTTAAAAAGGGGGAGGTGTTCATTACTCCATTTAAAAAGTGGTTTTTAAGAATCCATACATCTCTCTCATACTATTTCTTTTTATAAAAATATGCTAACCACACCTGGACAATATGGTTCTATAGTCATCTTTGTAATCTCTTTTAACATCTTTCTCTACCCAGAATTTTCCTTTAAAAAGGGAAAAATATTGAGGAGGAAGGAGTTACCAATACATACTAAAAAAATCTGAGATATTAGAGGGAAATATTTGAAAAAAATCAATATGATTAAAGAAAACTTGATATTATTATAAAAATAACAGCTAGAGTGTAATGATACAAATACTAAAGAAAGAAAAATAATGTGAACTGGGACTAGACCATTTTATAAGATAACTTGTTCAACAAGACAGGAATGGGGAAGGTGAAGGGAACTAGGAGTAAAAACATGGAGTCAGAGTTGAAAATGTAAAAAAATTATTTCTAACATAAAAAATACAAAAAGATAACATATAGATCTCAGGCTTGGTGTTTCAATCATGTTCCAGTACTCAGAGGCATTCACAACTGAGACAGCTCTGGGGAGACAGGGTTGGCATACCTACTCTGGGAATATGTTCCTACCTTTTATTATTTTCAGGTTTACTTAAGGAAGTATATGATGAATTTTATCTTAATAAACTTAAAACCTATGACTTGGTTGGTTGTCTTTCACTTATAAAAAGTTAAGGGAATAAAAATTATAAAATTATAATATCTAATGTAAAACAGAACTATGTTAGGAACATTACATTATTTCTATTATTTTAAAGCAGGTTTTCTGACCATGATTTAATCTTTTCTTCAACAGCTGTCCTTTAAGCATAGAATAGACACTTACCAAATTAGGCAAAATATACTAACTTGTTCATTTGCATGAGCTCTATGTAGTTCATGAATATCAAAATCCTCCAGGTTAAGCTGCAATTTCTCTTTACAGAGTTCACAGGTGGTTACAGCCTCTAACGAAGAACCTGGTAAAAATTAAATTACACGTAAAGCTTACATTTGCTTGTTTCCAGCAAAACATTTTTTCCTGTAGTTTTAAGCTTGTAATATAGAAAACTGAAAGGGAGAAAAACTGCATTACTGCTGTAAACCAGTAGTCTCTCCTAAAATCGTGGTTCTAACACCTAATGTGCATGTCAGGTATTTAAGCCTCCACCCACTATTCAGGCATCTGGATTTTTTTTTCTCCCAGATACTCACACACACCCATAATCCTGGGAAGCTGACCATGGAATGTCATCTGTACTTCCTACTTCCTTCTCAAGTACTTTTGCAAGATGTCATGAAAACAATGTGTAATAATATAGTCAAACAACTAGTTACATATACCTAGGCCAGTACCTTTGATATGACAGTACCTTTGATATACCTAAGACTTTCTGCGGTCTAAAGAATCAATGTGCCTTCTCTATAGGCCAGGAAGGGAAAAAAAGAGATCCACCTTTGTGCAGATCAAAGCAGCTCTTTTAAGCCATGAAAGGAATAAATTCTTGTACTTGCTATAACTTGGATGAACCCTGAAAACATTTAAGCATAAGGCAGATGCTAAAATAATAAATATTGCATGATTCCATTTATATTAAAAGGTAGAAAAGGCCAATTCAGAGAGAAAGAAATCAGAAGTTACCATGGATTGGGGGGATGGAAAGGAGGGAATGAGTTACTGCTCAATGGTCATAGACTGTTTCTGTATAGAGTGACTGAAAGCTTGGAAATACACAGTGGTGACGGTCACACACTGTTCTAAGTATACTTAATGCCAGTGAATTGTACACTTAAAAATGATCAAATGGGCAAACATTACATTACATATATTTTTTGCCACAATTAAAATGAAAAGGGGGAAAAAAAGCTCCTGTCCTGTATGCATTCTACGTTTGGTTACTCCTAAGTTCTTACTCCAATTAACTAAGTGGTTGTCTTATCTAAGTACACATATAGTGATTATTTCCCTGTGTTTATTTTCAATAGGGATTTAAATGGAAAAAAAGTCCTAAAAGTTCAAGTCATACAAGTAACAGGACAGAGGTTTAGATTCAATTCAATTAACATCTGTTGAGTGCTTGTTATATGCCAAGTATTTGAGGTTCTGGAAATTCAGAAAGCAAAATAATAACCCCCTGTCTTTAAGGAGTTCATAAAACTCTTAGGATTAGTGTTGTTTAAAAACAATAAATCTTTAAATAGTAAAATTTGGCATTAAGTCCAAGACAGCAGTAGTGATTTATATGCATTTTCTACAAACTAGCTGAAGTGGGTGCTATTCTGAGGTAGTAGGTTATCTATGCTGGCTCAAAATGAGCTGTAGTCAAATTAAGTAAGATATTCACTATATTTCATATATATGAAGAAAATTAAGTTGCTGGGTTTTTTTTAGGAGTCTGGATTATACTAAGGTGTGAAATTTAAATGCATCTGGAATATTTTCTTAATTTATAAAAATTAATATTGTGCCACTGAATTAAATTCAGGGCAAGTCCATTTTGCTGACCTGATAGTATAAAGAATGTGAAAAACTAAGTTTGGAAGGCTTTTTCCAATCAGGCATTTCTTAACTATTCTGATTCAGAAGCAGCAAAAGTTTGATGATTACAAAATATGGACCTTGGAGATCATTCAGTACACATTCTTTTACATCTTGGGGCTTCATTTTTCTATGGAGTGACTTACAGAGGTTGTTCAAAAAAGGCCACACACAGCTGGGAGGAACCCATTTATTCCTACATGGTTTAATCCAGGACTCTTTCCATTACATCCCGCTTCATTCAGTAGCCCCTGGCTGCATCTGCCTAAACTCATTCTAGACTTTTTTTAAATTCATCTTTGAACATTCTATGGAGTTTAGCAATCCATATACAGGAGCTGCTTAATAATGTTAAGTCAATCTCTAGCAGAATCAATCTTCTACCAGATGGGGTCTTTATGTAAGTATGAAAAAAACCTGTGAAAATTTATCAGTATTCAAGTTTGACAGTATCTTAAAAAGTACTTATTATAAACTTTATAAAACCCTTTTAACTGAGTACTTACCATGTACCCAATACTATGAGAAACTATTTATAAACATTTCGTGTGACCTTCACAGAAACCCTATGAGGTAAGTATAACTCAGTTTAACTCAATATGGAACTGAGGCCCAATCTCAGACCTACCTAAGAATGCTCAGGAATGATCTGATGCATTTCTATTTTTAAAAATTCCAAAGGATAATTCTGATCAGCAGCCAAGGTTGAGAATCAATGATAAGAAACTTACTCAAGATCCTTTAGTTAGTTAAGTGTTGGAGCCTTCATTCCAATCTTGGTTATCTAACTCTAAAAAGCCAATGTCTTAAGCAATACACTGTTTTACCTGTTTTCCTTCCTACACAACACTAACAATCCAATTGCAAATTTATCAGAAGGCTGAGTCAAGTTGTTTTTTTACCTTGGTAATAGCTACCATTTCTGGGCCCTTACTAAGCTAAGTGTCAAGAACTATGCTGAGCACTCCTTTAATCCTCACACCCCAGGGCAGTGACTGACAAAGCCTGAGTCTGTCCTAACACCACATATAACGTGTAGCCCAGAAGAGGCTGCTACAGGTAAGATGGCCCTACCTACAGCACTAGGATCAGGCTAGAGTAAAAGAAAAGATACCCACCTCCACTCCAAAGAGGCCTTTGCAACCCAGCTGCAGCAAAAAGTTTTCCAGTAGCCTCATAATACCCACCTTGAACAGGTAAACCAATTTCTCCAACAGATTTTTAGAATTAAAATTAATGGCATCATTCCTTACATCCTATTTGCCTGTCACTGAGCTATCATTATCACACCTTCAATCTCATATAATTAAATCTGACCTAATTTTCCACCTTTCTCACCCTAACAGTCACTTCACGTGTCCTCTGGTACTCATGGTCTAACACAAATAAATTGTTCTCTTAATTCATCTTTATTAAATCACCTCAACTTCATGTCTGAATTACAGTGCTCCCCCAAACCGATACATACTCTTCTGCAACTATTTTTTCCCACAACTCTTATACCTCTGGACCAAGAGTGAGGACAGAGGCCCCCCGCCGACTCACCGTACTTTGAAATCCCAAGTTCCTCCTCATTCACTAATGACATTAGCACCTGGCTCTCCATCTTCTTTACCAAATTACCTCTTGGCTATTTCAACATCCACACAGACCATTTTACTTTTGTCTCACTTCCTCAACATTATACTTCCAGTATTACCCTTCCCCACCTCAGCTACCCACTCTATGGTCAGACCCTTGACTTGTCATCAGTTTACTGTACTACCCTAAATCTGTACTTTATCCTCCCCTCCTGTGTACCTACAATTTTTCATCATTCTAGCTCATTTTGCCAATTCTCTTTGATGTGAGTGACACATAGATCTTAATCACTGTCTCATTATCTCTATACTGCCTGATTTTAATTTCCATGACAATTTTTTTTCCTTATATATATAATCTTAACACTATCATACCTGCCAAGCAAAGGTCCCAACCCCAGTGAACTCATATATCCATGTGTGTATCCAAGCATCTAAAAACTGCTTCTAAAAAATATGTATGTATCTCACTTAAATCATACTCACGGCCACCAATATTTAGTATTAGTATACTTCCTGAAAATCCTGAAAACATCTTAGAATGTTACTTCCCTCACATATCAAAATTCCTTAGTCCCTAACCAGCTAAAGATTTTATCTCCCTTTACTAAGAAAACTGAAACAATTATAGAGGAATTCAAGTACTTTCTCACAAACATCATCTTTATAGAGATGAAGTACGATTTTTCCTATTAAAGGCAAACTACTCGACTTGCACTCCGGATCCCATTTTTCCTTTTCATAATTTTTTTTCCTCTTCATTGCAGCTGTTAAAAATAAAAACATGCCCTAAAATCTCCTATCTTGAAATAAAACAAAACTATATCCCATGACCCCATATAACTCTCCTTTTCATTTTGGTAATAGTTAACATTTCTGGGCCCTTACTAAGTAAGTGCCTTGAACCATGCTGAACACCTATCCCATTTCTGCAATCTCTCTGCAAGCTTATTGACAGAGAGAGGTCTATGTGGCTGTTTCCAATCTTACCTCATTTTCAGTCTAGTCTAATCATGCTTAAGACCCTACCACTTCAGAGACTGAAACCACTAAGGACATCCATGATACCAAATCCAAATGCCATTTTTTTTCATTCTTATCTCTTTGCTCCATCTCTAAAACCCATTCTCCATAGAGCAGCCAAAATACAAAGATACCTTGCCCTTCAGTGGCTCACTGCACTTAGATAAAAACCTAAGCTTCAGACATTAGCTTTATGCGTTTAAAGAGCTAGCCTCTGATAATCTCTCCTATCTCAACTGTATCATCCCTCTCCTCTGCCCATTAATTATACTCCAGCCACACTGGGCTTCATTTAGTTCCTCAAACATACCTACGTCATTCTCACCTTTACACTCATTTTTCCCTCTGTTGGAATGGTTTCACCTCATTCTGGATCAGCAGGTTCCTCTTTATTCAGTTTAAATGTTCTTACCTCAAGGAGGCATTCCTTTAACATCCAATAGTACCACCAAAAGAACAAGTGCTTTGTCTGTTTTGTTTAGCACTCTGCACGCACAATCACAACCACGCCTGGCTCCATGCCAGGCACTCAATAAAGGCATCATAATTGCCTGGCAAAGGTTCCAGCAGTGGAGACAATAAATTTTTCTCAAGGATATATAGCTGGTAAATAGTATATGTCTTTGATTCAAAAGTTTTTTTATGTGATATAAGGGTTACCAACAATAACAAATCACTATATATGTATGAAGAAGCAAACTTGGGTAAATAAAATATAAGAAACTATGATAAATTAAATTTATGAAGCAAGACTAATGAATACTCTTTAATGCTTCTGCTTCAAAAAATGACTAAGGCACTTTTGACAAGAATATAATCAGATTTGTTAACTAAAATGCATACATACGTGAATCTCGTGAGAAAACTGAGAAAACTAAATACATTAGAGGGTAAACCTTACCAGAGTTAATTTTGGCCTGTAACCACTTTTTCATACATTCTTGGTGGACATACTGCAAACTTCCTGTGCATTTGCATCCGAGATAGTCGTTCATAGATGATGATGCAGCTGCCATCTGACAAATTCTACATAGGTCACCTTCTTCTTCTTCAGAGTCCTCTAAAAGGAGGCTAGAAAAAAGAAGGCACATTTCCTAAACAATTATCATTACCCCATTCTGGTTGGTCAAATAATCTCAAATGTTTTTTTTTTTTCCTTATTTCTACTCACTCTGGCTCTAGGTAGGAAAAAAGCACAGCACACAACAATAAATATCAACAACAGTGAGAAAACATATCAATGAAAGTGAAAATAATAAATATTTTAAGGGTAAACCAAATAGGCTATCCTATTATCTTCAGATGATTTGTCTTTGGTTATCATGGTTTAAATTCCATAGTTTTCACAATCACTTTACAAGTATTCCTAGGAGTTACTAATTTCTGCAGTATTATATAGACTATTTCAATCCGAACCATAGAATGTATTTATACAGTCATCACTTTTGGCCCCTACCTCCCAAAAATCTTTAAGATAACTTCAATGAAGTAAATACTGATTTTTAATTTTTAATTTATATGTTATCAGAAATATATACTTAAACTATTGTTTCTTATATTAAATCACAGTGAAAAAAAGATTTTTAAATTCTCTATTTCCACCTCCCCCATGAAGGTCTTAAATCATCCTGATTTTTTTAATGGTTAGGTTTTTAAAGGGTAAAGCAGTTTCCAGTTTCCATTAACCTATGTCCTCTGATAGGTCAACATGTACTGCTTAACTTAAATTGCTGAATGATGGCTGTATAATAAGCGAAGTAGTTTTCTGTTAAAAACCCTGTTGCCTTAGTCCACTGCTGGCATGCAAAAAAGTACTCAGTAAACTGATGATATTTAATGTTAAACTGTTACTGAAATATAATCTGGATTATATGAATTCCTAATGAATTTAGCAAGGTCAGTGGAAAGAGGAATAGATACTGTTAGGTGACCTTCATGCCTTGGCTTAACCAGAGAAAGTAACTCAATCCCACTTATGTTTTACTGCATTAAATTTAACTTTCTTCAGTTCAGTTTCAGTAATTTTTTTTTTTAACTTGGGAGATTCAATTTCTTTTACACTCTTATTGTCTTAATATCCTCATGTATGCAGAAAAGACCTAACAAAGGAATATATACACATGTATAAACTCTAGAGCAAAATAACCAGCAACTGCTGCTTTTTAAACTACCAAACTGGACAGTGTGGTGCTGGCTTATTTCTCTCTAGAAATCATTAAACTAATGCTTTGCCCTATGCTTACAGTACTGCACTTAAATTACACTAACTTTGAGCACAGTACTCCTCAGCAGACAACTTGCAATCAGAGAGAGTTACTGTAATAACATTAATGTTGACACTACCAGGGCAGAGTAATTTTTCTCCAAGAAAGAAAAATAGAAAATTTTAAAAGCAGGAAGACAGTCACAAGGTATAACCTGTCCTACATAAGGAATAATGAGAATATAGTAGTCCATGCCCAACACCTCAAAAAGCATGTTAAGCGCCGTTTATTCCCAGAGTTAGATTTGAATTTCTTCCTTAAAGTACAAATAAATGTATAAATGAGAGTAACAACTATGCTTCCCAACAATTCCATTAGGCCTTTATGAATAAGAAAAAAAAAAAAAAAGCCACCCTACAACCTTAGCTTTACATTGTCTTTTCTTCCTACATTTTAAAAGTATACCTTGTCCCATTTTACCATAAAAATTACCTTAATGTATGAAAAAATTAAGTAACTGCATTAATATGACAAAATTAATAATCAAGTTGGCAATAAAATATGATTTTTCATCTTTTCACTCTTATCAGAGATTTTAAAGCAATCTTCAACTCTATATAAAGATTTTATTTACATAGAGATTCTAAACCCTAAATGTGAACTGGTATTTCTGTCAAATAGTTACAATATATAAATAATATTCAGTAAATTCTTGGGACTTCAAAAACAAAAAAATGTGTGTAGATTTTACTTCACTTCATAACAGATTTGAGGTGCAAAATATACATTAATGGTAAATAAATCACCTTAGTAAAAGCTAAGACAAACTGTCTTGATAATCCCATTTAGACTAGTCTATCAAATAGTATAAGAGATTAAGATTTTTGTCTTTTTGTGTACCTATATCCAAAGCTGGTTAAAAATAATGTATTTTTAAATGCAATCTATACCCTCTAGTGCCTACCTACGTAATTAATTCTCATCCATTTTTACCTTTTGAGTGAGATGCTAACATCTTATCAGATGTAAATTGTAAGGGAAGAAATGGCAGGAATCAGTGTTAAAAGAATCTATTTTAGAAATAAAGTTTTTTCTCTAATCTGCTCTTGCTTTATGGACTTAGGACAGGTACTGAAGTTTACCTCTCTTTTATTTTCTGCAGTCTTTCTGGGTCTCTTGAAGATGCACTTTTAGTTTTATCACTTTTTCCATCAGATGAATTCCAACCTGAAGGAATAATATCTACAGTGATCATGACATTGTCAGTCAAATTATTTCCAAGTGCTGGGGGGACTGCGAATCGGAATAAAGAACCCGGAAGGATCCCTGCTCTTCCTGTGTTTCTTCCACCATGAGCCGACCCTGGGGTGGAGCCGCCTGCAGCAGCACTGCTTGATGCTGCAGATGCCTGTGGTCTGTTAGCAGCAGCCCCAAGGGGATCGCTCTCTGCTTCAAGGTGAACCACTTCATTTGATTCTCTTCTAAAAGTATGATGAGATCTAGATGGTATATCAGAGGTAGGTGTTCTTGAAGATTCATCTCGTCCCTCTCGCCTCCTCCTAGAGAACAAAGGTGTGCACCTATTTCTAAATGAGGAAGATAACCACGGTCCTGAATGTCTACCTTCAGATTCCTGGTTAAAATTTTCTGAATCTGGCTCAGAGCTATGATTTTGGTTAAGAGATGACAAACCCCATCTTCGCCTAAGAAATCGAAATCCCTGAGAAGCTTCAGATGCCCTATTATCAGGAACATCAGAAGTTGATGCTGCATTACTACGAGACTGTGAAGCTGTCAAGATTCTTGGAGAAATGTAAGAATTTTCAGAACTCAATGATCTTGTATTCAAGGAATCCTGACTTGATCTTCGTGAAAAAAAAGTAGATGACATACTAGAAGCTATACGTGACAGCAATCTCCTGGTTGTACGTCTACCTTCATTGTCGGAAGATTCTTGAAATGATCTTTGAGATGAACCAACCCTACCTGAACTGCTTTTGGCTGAGGTTCCATCTCTATTTGAAATATAAGAAAATCCAGGCTGTGTACTATTTGGGGGAGATTCCAATTCTCTTGAAGAAAAATGTGATCTTAAAGAATTTCTACTAGAGTCTCTAGAACATGGTATGGTCTGATGTTCAGAAGGCATTTGGTGATTTGTGGATGATGTATTCAATTGTAAAGAGCTCACTGAGTTCTCTTTTGGTCTTGCTCCCTGTGAATATGAAGAAGGAGCTCTGTCTTGAACATCTATTTATGAAAAAAAGAAAACAAACTACATGAAATAATTTGAGCATTATTAAATTTACATTTATGAACTACTAATTACTGTCAAAACGAAACACTGGATTCAAACTGAATTCTTCACTGTTGTAAACTACACAAGATTAACTATACAGAAACTTAAACTTTACAGAAAAAAACATAAATGTATTTCTTCCTATACCTTTGATAAAAATCCAGTACTGCTGTATAAAGTCAACATGACACATTCAAAAGAAAGAAATGTACCAGTTTGCTTGTAAGAGGCAAACATCTAAATCTATCAACTTGATGAAAGTAACACAAATTTGTCAATCAGAAATTGATATGGTAGAAGATCTAATATCTAAAATGGACTGCAATTTTTCATGGGCCAAATAATTCAATTTAAATGACTCTTAAAACAAATATAAGCAAAATAATCCAAGGAGGACAGTGTTTTGAATTATCTTACTATGCAGTAAGTATTAAAGTGAGTTCATGTAAGTGTAGGTGGGTCACAGGGAAAGCAGTATAGTACAGAGAAGACAAATAGTGACTCTATAGCATCTTACTATGCTGATCGACAGTAACTGCACTGGGGCATGGGGGGGCTTGATAATATGAGTGAATGTTGTAACTACAATGTTGCTCAAAATTGTGTATCAGTAATACCTTAATAAAAAATAAATGAATAAGCATAAAAAAAGTGAGTTCATGTAGGTATTATCAACCTTGTAATTTTATTGCAAACCTTGCTACAAGCTAAAAAGTTCTTGAATCATTTTCTTTCCAGTTAACAGCAGGGGTTGTTATCTCTGGTTACTCATGAGATACACCTTTGTTTTATTTAATACTGAATGAGACTAGGGGTCAGAACAGTGTCTTGGCATCTATAACTTAAAAAGTACATCACACACTTGTGGTTCTGATCTCCAACTGGGATAAAACAGGAGTACTATAGTACTATAGTATTAATAAAGAATATTCATCCACACATCGAGTTTAAGAGCTAGACTACTACTATAGGTAACACATGTAGCCTTATGAAAGAATAAACTGTTAGGGGGTAAATCTACTCTATCCTTTACTTTCATACTCCTAAACCTAGGAGCTAAAGCTCCTCTATCCAAAGTCAAGCAAAGAAAAAGATGTTTTCATTTGTCCTAAATAAAGCAAAGGCTTGCCAGTAAGATCATTTAAAATAATCCAAACATTTAAAAATAAATGTATATTCTTGTATGTAATTCAAACTCCACTTTTCCCTGCTATATTTGTCAACTTCAATTAGCACTTTTTGTCTTTAGTTACTCAGTATTACTGTTTTATGGTATTTATTTCTGAAAAACTTGTTTATGTATACTGAAAGAAACGGTGTGGGTCTCTATTTAAATTGAATGAAAATAAAGGGACATTCATGTAAAATCAAAGTAACTTCAAATTATGCTTTAAAAATGGTGATTTCAAGCTTTAGTTAGTTCAGAATTTAATTCTGGAGCTTTAATACACAGTATCAGCAGCTTCTATGTTTGGGGGTACAGAAGTACATGATAGAATAGATTTAGCCCACGTCTATTCTTTCATGAGGCTCCATGTATTAGCATAGTAGCAATCTCTCTCTTAAACTTAAGGCAAATTGTACTGGAGTAAATACAAGAATTATTTAGTACATTTTGACACATATACTCTTAGAAGGAAAAATAAAAGTATAAAAAGAATAGAGGCAGACAGAATTTGGAAACTCATGTACATCTATTTTAAATTGTTTACTTTTTAAGCAAAACAATAAGGTACTAGGACATATATTAAACTATTTTGAAATTTTCATAAGATTCACTTCACTTATTCCTTTATACTGTTATTTTAATGATATACATACGGATGAAAATAGAACATTATTAGCTAAGTTATACTTTACAGTATAGTTTATACATACATGACGAAGCTGTGAAATCACCACTTCTGTGACTACAATCCATAAGATTACTAATGGAAGAATCTGCTCTCCTCTCTAAATCTCTCCTCTCTCTCATTAAGTCAGTTCCAAATGATCCAAGTACCACTGATGAAGATCTGTGAACTGGACTATGCCTCCAAGAAGAATCTTAAAATAATTGAAGAAGTTTTAATAAAGAAAAAGCTTTCAAAGTTTCTGATGACAACAAATGTTCAGCATTATACAGGGAGGTTATTGTGATTTATTCTAGGAATCTCCAGTTTCATAGTTGCAATACGATGCAACTTTGTAATTCAGCAAAACAGAAAATTACTCACTAATGAATTCACTTCCTACCCAAACACATTCTTTTCTAACACTAAAATCTACCCCCATCCATGATGCCGATGTTTCAGTTGCTCTCTAGAATATCTGAACATACACTATAAACATGATATAACATGATCATAGAACAAAAATGCAAAGATTGCTAAAGATGCAGAATTTCCTGAAAAGTCAGTGCAAGTGATGTTGGAGAACAGCCAAAATAATCATCAAAGCCATCTTGAAATGCAAGATGTAATGCAGGTTTTAATACTATTTTATCACAAGTATTATTATTGCCAACACACTTGGTTCTTTCTAAGAATTAATGTATTGTTGCAATGTAATTTAAATTTTGTTAGATATGATTTCATCTAAAAATAAATTAAAAATTAAGACTCAAACTTCCTCCCCTATTTATCTTGAAATTTCTGTTCTACCTTTCCTAGTCGTAACAGTCTTAGTAATTGCTCTTCATTAAGGAAAATGGCCAGGATATTTAAATCAATGCTATGCCTTCCAGAGCAGAGAACAACAACAATATCTCTGTACGGTAGTATCTGTCTATAAAGATAAGATCAGTCTGTTCTTACCCATCACACTACTCTTAATATCCTTCAGATGGGCAGTGCCTTTCCCATGGCAGTCCTGCCTATCAAAATAGAAAGTTATTGCTTATATGAATTCAATTGGTAATACACATGCATTTCAAGAATTTTACCTTCAATTGTGTTATCACAAGTTCTGTCTCACCTTAAAACTATTTCAGGTATTAGCTAGTGTTTCATCTGAAGAGGACTGTTAACTCAAGAGGGAACACATGTCCTCTTAACCAAAAAAGATCTTTTTAATTTTTGCAACAAATTTGTATCTGAGTAGTAAACAGTACTTACTGCTCACAGTGGAGATTTATGGACAAGCCATCTAAATCCCAGAATGGTTAAGTGACTTGTCCAATGCCACACAGTTCAGGGGCTAGAATCAAGGCTTTCTAATTCCTTATATAGAGCTCCTAAAACAATACCACCACCTATGTTTTGTTTAACTGAAGAATTTCTACATTTCCTGAAAATATATACATTAATCATTTATAAAAAATATGCTTAGGAAATACTAACATTTCAGTAAATTAGAATTTGCTAGCTGTACAATTAAAAAACTTAACTCCTATAATAACAAGCAAAATATATGTCACTTTACCAATCTGATCAACATATGTATCACTGCTATTCTAACTAAAATCTGCTACTATTTGGATATCTGTACCAAATTTAGAACAACTATCCAAAATGAAGAGTCAATTTCAGTTCTACCACTCTAAGACTTCAGAAACTCCCCTCATTTCTGACCCATTCTTATGTGTACTCCATTTGCTAAATATATTATGTCTTGGGAAAAGGGCTTTAGTACAAAATACATATATTGTGTCTCTTACACAAATTTAGTTCTTACCTGACACTGCATTTAAGCCATGTCCAACATTTCTCCCAGCTGAGGTAGATGTACAGTTAGTACAGGAAAGTTTAGGTCTCTTTGAATCATGATCCCGTTGCTGGTTTTGTGATCTTGAGCGTGCTCCCTGAGTTATCTCTGATTCACTATACCATGGAGACTGAAATGGTGATGCAGATGCTGACGCTGACATAGACTGTTAAGTCAAAAAAGTTTTTTTTAAAGGAACAAAAAAACACATTCAGCATTACACGTAATCTGCAATACTCTTAGTAAATTCTCAAGGACCATTCATTCCTCACAAGTACAAATTTGTCTATAATGCAGTTTTATTCACAGTCTTTGTTCCCTTTACCCACTTGTCCCTTTACTTTATATTATAATTATAATCTGTTGGGCTATCAATCTGATTAGGATTAACTCTTCTATGTAGCTGTAAATAAACATTTGGTTAGCAAACACTGAAGAACAAAACCTTTATAATCATTTTGTTTTCCTGGTTTAATACTACATCCTTCTGAGGAACCTATTTCTTGTTGTTAGAGGTAGACAGAAGCACCAGGAAACTAATAAACTGATTGTGAATGTTCTCTAAAAATGAGATTTTAAAAGTAATAAAAAAAATTTTCCTGGATCTAATGCTCATTCTTCATGAATACAGTCATATGTCACTATAAATGGCATGTTAAAAAAAAAAACCCTAGTATTTACAATTTCTCCATCAATGAAGCAACAAACAGCTAAAATTAAGTACATATTAAAGCTCTTAGGTCAACATTTTCTCTTAACATATAATATATGGACATAAAATAAAACAAGCCAGGACACAAAACTCACTCACAATATACAAATTATTTTACTTCTCCCTAATTCTTTAATTCATTAGGCAGTTTACTCAATATAATGTGCAAAAGGATTAGTTTATCTCCTTACAAATATAGGTTTAAATAAAAAGAACATAGTATTTCAACCACAATTGTTGAAATTGTTCCCTTATTTCACTGCAAAGTTCTTCCCTGAAGACAGATTGGACGCGTGCGTGCACGCATGCAAACACACAGACATGTTTGCCATAAAATCTCTAAATTGCTTGGAGACACTTAAGACTAAAAAGAAATTTCTAGGGAACAAAGGGAAAAACTTTTAAATCATTTTAACATGTATATGGTAAAAAAATTAATTTTACTAGAGAATATTAAAATGAAATGAAGTTCTTTTAAAAGAGTTGTATTTCTTGACAAAAAGTGGAATTATCATAGGCCATAAATACAGTCTACATTAATCTAGTATTCATATGAAAAACGTAGAGTCAAAATGGTGCTCTATCAGATTTCTAGAGCACAGATAATAAACAAATAATTATAATATAATAAGTACTGTAATAGGAGTTCTGTTGCAAGTTTTACAGAAAGGAGTCTATATCTGAAGAAAGTAGAGGAGGATTCATAGAATGTGACAGTTAGGGGTTCTGTGGGCAGGCAAATGAGGAAATTATAGATAAGACAACACAAAAAATACGTATGAACCACTTTCCCATGGGAATCCTTGTAAGGCATTACTACTTATTTGATCTTCAATTATACTTCAAATAGGAGAAGCACACTACATGCATTCAGAGAACTATAAAAGTTCATGGTAATTCTACAAAATAAACTTTACACATATGGAACAGCAGAAGACGCAAAGCTGAAAAAGTAGACCTACATCAGGATTTCATCCATCCCTTGCCCAGAGACTATTTTGCTAACTGAATGTGGCATTTTTCAGCTTAGTATAAACTTGGTCTAACAATTCTTTTACACCAAATACTCCACAGAGTCCCAATTAATAAGCTGGAGTAGGACAAAAGACAAAATTTATTAGTTCAAAATCTGGTCCATTTTATGTGGCATTATAAAGGTACTATGGACCTTATCCCTGGCAGGCTAGCAATTCTCTAGATTTCAGAAAACAAAAACATTGTTTTCATTTAAAATTTTGGAAGAATTGCTACTTTTGACAAGGAAACTAAAACAGCAAATACCACCTAATCTTGTCCCCAATTTTTAAAAAAGGGCATTTCACATGCTCCCAAAACATGATTGTTAACAGACTTAAGCAGTAAACTTTATTTGTACAAAATCTGTAACCTGTCCTTATTTTTTCTCATTTTACATAACACGGACAAACTTTTACTGAACAGCACTTCTGCAAATATGACTTTGGGAACTGCTGAAGAAGGAAATGGCACAGATCAACTACTTCTTAGATCCTTAGAACACTGGGGAAAGTGAAAAGGTTGGAATAGGAAGAAAAATGGAAACACAGAGTAATTATAAAAGATAAAAATTTATCAAATTTTGGAGACAATGTGAGAAATTGAGAAAAAAACAAGACTAAAATCAGTCCAGTTTTCTAGCATTGGCTACTGATGAGAAAAAGATACATTTACTGTTCAGGAAACAATTTATGACTCAGAAATCTAAAGTAATCTACACAGCCAAAATGTGATCCCAGAGACAAAGGCTTGTTAATACCAATATATGGAGAGGTAAAAGTTAAATAAAAGTTCTGACCAGTTTTTCTGCTGACTTACATTCCAAATTAAATTTTTTTTTATTCCTATCAATTATGTCCACTGTTCAAATATTCTCAGTCTGATGCAATTAGTTTTTTTCCTCCTCTGAAGTCTTCTAATGAAGGATGGGATTCATTTAACCACAGACTTTCTCTCTTATGCTCTTTAGAACTACTGGCCACCAAATGAAATCAGGGAATTAGTCTGCCTCCAAAGTATACTGCCTTGAAGATAATGGATACCTAAAACATAGTAGTTTTGGGGTTGTTTCCACTTTTTGGCTGCTATGAATGATGCTATCATGTTCAAGTTTTGTGTAGACAACTTCACTTCTAACTGTCTTGGGTTTAACTAACAGGTCATAGAGTAATCTGAAGTTCAACTTTTGGAAGAATTGCTGAACTGTTTTCCAAAGTGGCTGTACCAGTTTACACTCCCATGAGCAATGTCTAAGGGTTCCAATTTCTTCACAATCTGGCCACCTCTTATTTTTCAGCCACTCTAGGGGGTATGAAGTGATATCTTATTGTAGTGTACATCTGCATTTCCCTATTAGCTGATGGTGTTGAGCACCTTTAAATGTATTGGCCACTTGAGTATCTTTGGACAAATGTCTACTCAGGTCCCTTGCCTATTTTAAAGTGGGCTGTCTTTTTACTGTTAGGATGTAAAGGTATTGTTAAGATGTCCTTTACATAATCTGGATATAAGTCCATTAGCTGGTATATGATATACTAATACTTTCCCCATTCTCTAAGTTGTCTTTTCACACTCTTCATAGGCTTTTGACACACGTTTTTAAATGATAAGCACAATTAATTCTTTCTGCGTTTCTTACCTCTAGACTTGAACATTCACATGAAACTAAGTAGACACAGAATTATTAAACTTCTACTCCCATTTGATGGAGTTCTTTTTCATTTTCACTCTATTTCTGGTCTCTACACAGAATGGGTAACAGATTTGGCTTCTGGAGTAAACATTTTTCATGAGTTACTTTCAACTCAAAAGGTTATATATGTTTTCATAGCTATATTTTTTGTGTGGTAAAGATCTTAAGATCTACTTTCTTAGCAATTTTCAAGTAACTATAGTCAACCATGTCATACATCAGATCTGCAGAACTTATTCATCTTAAAACTGAAAGTCTGTACCCTTGCCCAACATCTCCCCATTTCCCGTAACCCCAGCCTTGGCAACCACTATTTTACTCTCTGGTTCTATGAGTTCAACTTTATTTTACATAAAACATACAAATGAGATCAAAAACAAAACAAACAAAATGTTATATAGATAAGAAATGTGACGTGTATCGTATGTGAATTATAAAATAAAAAGGGGTTGGGGCTAACGTAACAAAGTAGATGAAATACTATATTGTATATCTGAGAAATCATTTATGAAACAGTTTGGAAACTTAAGGGTTATTTTTGTGTATGTCTTTTAAAATTTATTCAACATACCACTGATATACAATCTTATATTAGTTTCAAGTATACAACACAGTGGTTCAACAGTTACCCGTATTATTAAATCTTTACCTCTAGTGCAGTCACTATCTGTCAACCTAGGAAGGTATTACAGAATCACTGGCTATAATTCTCTATGCTTAAGCACCATTCCCATGACCAACTTATAATTGACAATTTTTGTGTTCTTTTATTCCCCAATAGGATTGTTTCATTGTTGTTCAGTTGTATGGGTCAACCCCTTATCAAGATATATGATTTGTAAATATTTTCTCCCTTTGGCAGGTTGCCTGTTAATTTTTCTGATGGTTTACTTTGCTGTGCAGAAGCTTTTTAATTTGATGTAGCTCCAGTTGTTCATTTTTGCTTTTGTTGCCAAATCCAAAAAATCACTGCCAAGACCCATTTCAAGGAAGTCATTACTGCCTACTATTTCTTCTGAGTTTTATGGTTTCAGGTCTTATATGACAGCCTTTAAACCTTTTTGAGTTAACTTTTTTAATGGTGTTAAGACAGTCATCCAGTTTCATTTCTTTGCATGTAGTTGCCCAGTGTAACCATCACCATTTATTGAAAATTATGCTTTCTGTTGTACATTCTTGGTTCGATTGTGGTAGGTGACCATACATGCATAGCTTTATTTCTGGGCTCGCCATGCTTTTCCACTGATCTAATTGGTCTGCCTTCATGCCAATACTATACTGTTTTGATTATCACCTTTGTAATACAGTTTGTAAGTAACACAGAGTGTGATGACTTCAGTGATGTCCTTTTTAAAGATTACTTTGGCTATTCAGTGTCTTTTGGGAATCCACATCTTAGGATTCCTTGTTCTAGTGCTATGAAAAATGCGTTTAGAATTTTGATAGGTATTCACTGACTGGACCTGTAGATTGCTTTGTGTAGAAGGGACATTTTATCAATGTTAAATCCTTCAATCATCAGCACAGAGTATCTTTCCATTTGTGTCCTATTCAACTCCTTCCATCAAATGTCTTAGTTTTCAGTGTGCAAGTCTTTCACCTCCTTGGTTAAATTAATTCCTAGGGTTTTGTAAATGAGATTGTGCTTAATTTCTGTTAGGTCCTTGTTAAGTGTAGAGAAACGCAATTGGTTTTCCCATACTGATTTTATACCCTGCAACTTTAATGAATTCACTGATTAGTTCTA